ATTTTTCCATCCATCCATTTTCTACCGCTTATCGAGGTCAGGTCGCGGGGGCAACACCTTTAGCAGGGAAGCTCAGACTTCCCTCTGCCCAGCCACTTCTTCCAGCTCTTCCGGAGGATCCCGAGGTGTTTCCAGGCCAGCTGGGAGACGTAGTCTCTCCAGCGTGTCCTGGGTCGTCCCCAGGGCCCCCTGCCGGTGAGACATGCCTGGAACACTTTACCAGGGAGGCATCCAGGAGGCATCCTAATCAGATGCCCGAGCCACCTCATCTGGGTCCTCGACATGGAGGAGAAGTGTCTCAACTCTGAGCCCCTCCTGAATGACCGAGCTTCTCACCTTATCTCTGAGGGAGAGCCCCGACACCCTGTGAAGGAAACTCATTTTGGCCGCTTTTATCCGGGATCTCATTCTTTCTCATAAAATGGTGTTTTGGCTTAATTGAGGTATTTATTATCCCCATTGACTCACAATGTCCCAATTCAAGTTCCACAGCAACCCATTTACACTATACACACTGTTGACGGTGTCTTGCTTCCTTCTGAGACACCGGATGGTGCAACACAATTTTCTCGAAGTCCTTCTCCACAGCCTCACCAAACTCTTTCCAGTATTTGACTCGGCAATGGCCAAAGCTGAATTCCGTTTGGCCAGCCAGTACTTATCAGCTGCCTCCAGAGTCCCAAGGTCTCAAAAAAGGCTTGATAGGACTCCTTGAGTTTGAAGTCATTCCTCTCCAACGGTGTCCACCAGCGGATTCAGGGAATGGTTTCATGACAGTCATCGGCCAACTCACAGTCACAGCTCTTGTTGGCCACCTTAATTGAGGCATGGAGCATAGCCCACTTGGACTCATATTCCCCCGCCTCGCCTGGGACTAAGTTCTGCCAGACGTGGGTGTTGAAACTCACTGTCAGGGGACTCTGGTAGATGTTCCGAGTCGACCAGGGGTGTCCAAACTCGGTCCGAAAGGACCGCGGTCCTGCCTGTTTTCCATCTGTCCCTGCTGCAACACAACTGATTCAAATGATGAGGATCATTTTCATGCTTCTTCAGATCTTTCTGATGAGCTGTTCCTTGGAATCAGGTGTGATTCAGCAGAGAGCAATGGGAAAAGAGGCAGGACAGGGGCCCGCGAGGATCAGAGCTGGGCATGCCTGGAGTAGACCCTTACAATACATTTTCGTCTGGTAAATGGAATCGGCATCTTCCCCACCATCAAAGCCAGCACACCACCAGGTAGTGACTGGGCGACAGCTCCACCCCTCTTCACCTGAGTCTTCAAGACATACGGCTGCAAGTCCGATGGCATGACTACAAAGTAGGGCTGCACAATATTGGGGAAACCATGCGGGATGTGACAAGGTGTTGAATATTGCGGTATTGATATTATTGCAATAGCAATTAACAATTACCCAAAACGTTTACATTTTTACTACCTAATGAAAGAAACAGATTTGTTCATGCGGCAAAATAAGCAGCCGACTTCACACTGTGTGCTTTTTGAAATTTCATCTGGTACTTGGGGTGTGGATGGGGCGGTAATACAGTGAAGACGCTCAAACTTTGTCGGTCTGTCAAACTGCGTGATGGCGGAGGTTCGTCTATGATGCGTGATTCGTGTCATGTAAAATCATTGCTGTATAAACTAAGTGAATATCTAAGTCTGGATGTGTACTTTTCCACATTAACATTGACAGTTCAAACAAAGAGTGCCTGCTTGTTCAGGAGGGCTTCGAGGGCCTATACAGTCTCAGTTGTTCAGTATCCACCGGTAGCAAGACAGTGAAACGTTGACTGCGGTGTCATTGTAGCTAAATACCAAACACACATGTTGACAGGCAAGAAAGCATGAATTTGTAAGGCAGCACTCGTGGCCCGGGACAAGCCTGAGGTGGCCACCATGAGAAGGATGATGCAAGAAAGTCAGAGGCAGGCAAGGAGAACAATCCAAGGAAGAGTTCTGGAGAGTCTTGCGTGAAAGCATGAAGAACAATCTGGCAATGCACTAGTGTGGAGAAGAGTCTTAAATCGTGGCTTGGTTACTCATCTGGTGCACCTGTGTGCCATCATTAAGTGGGAGTGGCTGGCCGGCACTGTGAAGCAGTGGTGGGGTGAGTGGAAAGACACTGGGATAGAAAACAGGTGAAGAATGGTGAAACACTGTGACATGATCACTTTCTTTGAAGACACTCATTTCGTTACAAGATTTGTTCACTTTTTGTACGGATAAATTGAAGCCTCTTGTCGGCTTCCTTAAGTGGTGATCGTGTACCCGCCCACGAATAATGAAAATCAGGGTACAATTGACACCCTTTATGAATGCATTGATTAAAAAAAATATATATATATATATATATATGTGTGTGTGTGTGGATATGTATGTAAATGTGTATATGTATGTACATTTTTTCCACAAAAAACAAGGGTTGGGAATTTTTTTTTAAAAAAAAAATCTTTTTTAAATGTAGGATTTTTTTGGGGGGTTTGTTTTGGTTTTGGA